TTTAAAAGAGTCGATCGTTACATATTGTCAAAGATTCAGGGTGAATAAAGCTCGCTCACACCGAGGACCTATCCACGTCATCATTTACCCAGAATGCTTTGTGTGTAAATAAAATGGCTCCATCCGTATTAAAATATATATTTTTTTAAAATATAAAAACTAAACAGCGTACTGTATTTTTACAGTATGTATTTTACAGTTAAAATATATGTTTATCAAATAAAGTCTAATGTTACTCATCGATCCCTGTAACTATGCAAAATACATTTACTGCAGTCTACTTTCCCAAAAGAAAAATGAGTGTTACGCTAGCCTTGGTTGGTTTTTATTGAGGGGATAACACATGCTGCATAACACATTTAAACAGACACAAATAAGCACTAACATTTACCTAGTGAAAACTATATTTATAAAAACAACTGTTTTGGGTGTCTCTGAAGAGATAAAAAGGAAAAATTTAGGAAATCAGAGGCTCCTTATAGATTTTCTAATACTTAACTCAAAATTATCCAGGAACATTTCACACAGCTCACCTCAAGGACATGCACCAGAGCCTCACTTGCCTCGCGTACTCGTTTTGGAGGAGCAGACGCCGACGGAAACAGCGATGGCAGGACATGAAGGATCTCTAGAGCCTGTTCAGCTGTACAGGAAAAGATTGGGTACAATTGGGTAAAAAAACAGCTTTACAATGCACACACGTTCAAATCTGATCAATTTATACGAAAACATTTAAGAAATGACTGCTTTCTATACTCATTTTAACCTTGTAAGACCTGTTTACACCCTTAGTCATCATAAAGCAAAAATAACATAAATAAAAAAATAGCTAAAAGTCCAAAACTCATGGACACAATTAAACCCTGATCACAGATAATACCAAAATGTAATTGCTTACCTTTGTCCACTCCCATTGGTAGTTTCAGCATTTTTTTCCATACACCAAAAAACTGCACCTTCTGGCAGAAGTCTTTCCATCGTCCCTTTAGTTCAGCTATGTAGCATGGGTTATCTTTGTTCAGAATGCGTTGAAGCTCATCCATGACCTATTCAATGTTCAATACACCAATTCAGATATTAGAATATTTATCTAGGAGAAGGAAATTGTCTAAACATTGCAAGTTATATCAAGCATTTAAGAATGCAAAGTATTCTTACATGTCCAATGTCCTTGAAACAAGGATATGCTTCTATGATTTTGTTGTGTCTGTCCTCCTCACGAAAACTATGTGAATCAATGAATGCTCTTCTGGCTTGAAATTCCAAATCCAGGAGATGAGACACATCCTGGTGGTTTGGATTCTTTTTTTTATACAACGATTGTAGGGTCCTGTAGTGCTTGGCCGAGATTGCTGGACTGTAGTTGTATGAGCTTTCAACATCTGTTGGCCTGTTAGCTGTAACACATAATGTGGCTCAATTTAACAACAGATTTTTGTCAATTAACGTAATATGACAACCTTTTTTTTAATTAATACAATCCATTTTGTGTAGTTAAATATTCGATAAATTATATTAAAGTCAAATTATTCAAATATGAACAACCCAAAATTGTAATTACTATTACAACACTAAAATACAGTAATGAGAATCTCGTCGTGCTATCATCGTTGCATTGAGGAACACAAGTACCACACCCCCAAAATAAAGTAAGACAAACTCACTCTTAGAACTGGACAGGAGAGGGAGAGCTTCTGGGGGCTTTGGGGTCTTGTTTTTCCTGAAACACATAAAGACATATTTCTGTTGGCATGATGAATCATAATGTTAATATTCAGATTGTGGAAGATAAACAAAACAAAATAAAAACAATACAAAATAAATACAAAACTAAATTCAACAAACTCCTTGTCAGTAGTGCCTGAGTCGGTGCTGGTAGTCTCATCTGTAGACTGGTCCAGAATGATTGTTGAGTCGCTCGACATGGCTTCATCTGTATCATAGGGCTCATCAAGACGGCGTCTCTTTGAAGAGCTGCAAAGATTAGCCAATTAATCACTTCCAACAAATGCTGGCCAACATATGTTAAAGTCTACTAAAGCTAATGACATATTTATTATTGAGGAAATTAATTGTTGCAGCTTTACCTCTTTGATTGTCTCCCACTCTGAGATTTCTTTAGAGGGGACCTCACATTCTGCAATCTTTTGTTTAGTTGCGCAAACACAGTGACCTTAAGAACACATACATTTCATTTTTTAGATCCTCAATAAAAATGTGCAAAATAAAAAAAACTTTAGTCATTAACTGGATGCATTTCACTTACCCATGAATTCTTCAGACCTTGGTCCTGTAGCATGGGGTAATACAGCACTATCCTTTTAGCCACTGCTGTGATTTCAGGTTTTGATGGGTATCTGTGTGATTCTGCATCTCCTTTTGCCCTCAAGATTGCAATCATACTGGTCATCGTGTTTCGGATGAGACGACATCTGAGTTCCTTTGACATTTCACAGTTGCGCTCTTCCCCTTTCTTCGACAATTCAAAGTACTGTTGTCTTACGTGCTCAAGGTCAGTGTCAGTGTGGAGTACATATTCTGGAAAGGTTAATTTCACAACCTTTTCAGGAGTTTCAAACTTGGGAAGACTGGACTTCATTGGAGTGGATGTCTGTTGCATAGGTGACCTATTATTGGAGGAACAGCTCACTAAAGTTGAATCTTCTTTACCAGAATCCTGTACAGAAACAAACAAACAAAAACAATGCAAAACAAAACATTGTGTTCTGATACTGTTACACTACATTGTCAGAAGTATTAGTCTGTGTACATTAACTTTACTGACAATCATGTTGTTAATACATAGGGTCCACTACTTTGAAAGTTGAAGTCGGGACTGTGTGCAGGTCAGTCAGGTTTGTCTCACCAAATTTTAGATACCTGCACCCAAGGAAGTGATTGTAACACATCCAAATTTACTGATATGGTGGTGTGACCCACTTGGAACTATTTTGTATCCCCAGAGTCAGAACCAAACATTAAGAAGCATCATTAAGTTCTTGCGCTCCACTAATCTGGAACAAACTCCAAAAGAACTTTAAATGCCGAAATGATGATTTTTTTTTATTCAGACAAAAAAAAAAAGTTTCTTAGATTTGTCTTTCACTGTTCTATTTAAACGGAAAACAAAAACATCATTAACTGTAGTTATAGTCCAATGTTTCTTTACCTTCTGTTATTACACCACTGCAATTGACTTTTTTCCAATATTTTTTTTTCTTATGATTTGTTCATGTAAAGCACTGTAACTGACTTGTTACTGATATACAAAAACATTTGCAGTGCATAGTTTTGGCAATATACTACATCAACCCAAAGTGCCACAGCCAACTGAAATAGGTTGTTTTTTAAGTCTACGTCACAGAGAAACTGACCTCCTCTGATGCACCATGACAAGCAATCCAGATCGCTTTTCTTCTTAAAAAGTTCTCTGGTCCTGGGAAAAGGTCCCGCAAGTCTTCACGAGACAGGTTGCCCATCATTGCCTCACTGATGTTTGCAGCTGAGAATGTGTTTGAAAACAAAGATGAAACTTGACACATCCAGATTAAGAAGAAAAGACTAAACATAAACTTGGTTTTTCAGTTGTTAAGCTACATAGTTTGAGAAGAAGCTGTAGCAAAGGGCCTTTAGATGGAGGTCTGAGACTGTTTAAAGTAAATTTGCTAACAAACCAGATACAATAAAGAAACCTTAATACCATTAAACTATGCATTCAGCACACATTGCACACAGTACTAGCTTTTTCTTAATTGTACTAGCCACAACAAAGCATTTTTTAACATTAATATTGTTTTAAACCAGTAAAATTGTTTAGTTTATAAATTTTGAAAATTTAGAAGTTTCTTTGATATCTGAAATTTCATAGTTCAATCTAATTTAAATTAACATCTGCAGCTAACTGAACACATTTTTGTTGCTGTCTCAAAGTAGCTGTACGAATGGATGGGAGACATGCATTTAGAGACAAACCAGCAATAACAATTACATGTATTATTGATTTTAAAATTGTATTGTTATTCAGTTTTAATACAAATATAAAGTGGTATTGTTGGTATTAACTGAGATATGTATTAATGTTCACAGCAACAGCAACTCATAAAAGAGTAGTGTTCTCTCCATTGTATTATTGCAATATTTTTAATAATTTATAGCCAAATGTAGCGGAATTCAGTTTTTCTCTTTTGGCGCCGGTGGAGAATGTGCAGTGCAGGCCAATGTCCAGTTAGCATTAGCAACATAGCACTCCCCTACAGCAGCATTAAAATCTCTACCGCTTGCTCTCACACACACACACACGCCACTAAAGACGTAAAAACTTTTATGTAATATTGGTATGATCATTACAACAACTTTTTTCCATGTCTCAGTCTACATTATAAACAACTTTGTATAAATACGTTACCTCTTAACGTCGACACAACCGCATCATCTAGCTCATCCATGCTGTTAGCTAATTCCTAGCTAGCTTGCTCGCCCAGCCTCTTCTTTTATTTCGCGTCAGCTGCAACGTTGAGCAATAAAAACACGATTAAACATCGATAGGAATGTGTAATGCGCATTACAAAGACAGAAACTCTTTACAAATAATTTTATCGTACTTGAGATTTACGGTAATTTTGCTGGTGGGCGGGTATCACCATAGTAACGGCTTTTTTGCGACAATCAACACAGTAGTACGACAGCACCTTTTCTGATCCTTTGACCAACGAAAATCTCTGATCCAACATGATTTGGCGCTGTTTTATTTGCTACGTATTTGTGGCGTTGTCTTTGAGACAACTTTTGAGTCACATTAACGTCATGCATAGTCGGAGTCCTGACTTTCGTGTGGTGTGTGGAATTGATGGCTGTCCAAGTGAGTACAGAGTGTATAACTCCTTTTACTATCACGTAAAGCGGACGCACACACACCATCTTCTCAACATTGAGGCAGACGAGGACGAATCAACTTTTGATGGAGTAAATGAAAGAACAGCCAAGAACGAACAAACAAGCACAACTCTACCCGGGGCTGCAGCGCATTCTGCAGTAACATCAGCTAACAATGGCTCCAGCATCGTCGTCGGAACAGTAAGTAATTTATTGAGATCAGCTGGCTGCTCATAGCACATCAAGTACAGTTTGCTTCTTTCAGTGACAACAAACCAATGAGTTATGTTATGCCTTAATTACATTACTCATGGCAAATAATGTGAAGGTAGTTATCTGAACACAGGATGCATTAAGAGACTTTGTAATTACTTACCTTAGATGAAATGTGGATGAGAGCAGAAGAGGTAGAAACACTCACTGCAGTCCAGTCAGAGTAGTTTTCTGATCATCCAAATTTATGACTAAATCCCGCTAGTTATTGTTTATAACAGGCTGGAAACGGAAGAAGTTGATCTTCGTGTTGCATATGAAGCGTTCAGGGACGGTTTGTTAAAATGTGATCAGGCTGAGGTAAATAAGAAATCATGATGCGTTCAAATTACACATCAAGAAAAATTAATAAATTAAAAATAATATTAAGCATTGTGTATTTACACCTTATGAAGACAATATTGCCATGTATTTAAAAGTACTGCAGTTTCATTTTTTTCAAATTAAATGTTACAAGATGCAGCAATTAAAAAAGTTAATTTGTATTTTTTATATAAAACTAGCAACTAACATTTGTAATTTTCAGTAAGTGGCTCAACACTGGTAGTAACTGGTGGTACATCTGATCATCTTTATAAAATATTCACTTTTACACAACACACACAATTTTATATTATTCTCTTTAAAGGTCCGGTATTTACTGTTCGAGTGTCTGCTACCCACCAGTATATTCTTTGTTGATGTGGTTATTTCGGTAATCTTTTTCAGAGCAAATTTCAAGAGGGTGGAGAGGGTCACACGAATCTGGACCTTTCGAAACATGCAACTGCTTTTCTCCTTCAAGCCAGAGAAACACAGCGACTGACACAGGTAGTTTCAATAATTCAAATTGTATTTGGACACTGTTCAAACCTTGATTTTACTTTAGGTAAAATGAAACGCAATAAGAATGTTTCTCCACTTGCTATTTGAGTGACTTTGTGTTTCACATAACCACCCAATATATAAGTCAATAGATAAGATATAAACTCTCTTCATTCAATGTATTTGCTGAGCATAGGCTAAGAATAGAGGAAACAGAGTATACACATGTACACTTATTGTTTAAAATGCAGTATAAAATCAATTGTAAATATTCATAAATATGCAGAAACCATTAGAACTTTGGTAAAGTTTTGGTCTTTTCATGTCACCAACAATATTTAAATGAATGATCCTTACAAAGTTGTGTCCATGAGTTTGCATTTTATTGTATTTTCTAATAAATTTTAATATATATATATTTTTTTTTCTATTCAGAGGGCTGTTAACCATATGGTGAGTGGAGTCCAGCAGTACCAGGCAGTGTTGTTGGAACACCTTAAACAGCAAATGTGCAGCTTGATTGAAGGACATTCTGGGGACCTGGATGAACTAAGGAGTGGTGCATTAGGGATTTTTGACAAGTTTGTTGACCCTTTCAGTCAAATTTCTTCTACTCATTTGCAGAATAAAACTATCAAAGAACTGCTACAACCAGTTGAACCTGAGATTGTTGTTGCAAAACAAACTGTATGTTATGTGAAACATGGGGACTCCAGAGTTCTTTCCACCAAGGACCATTGTTTTCATTATGTACCGCTGGTGAAAAGTTTGGAGCAACTGCTATCCCATCCGAGAGTTCTTGCAATGATTGATGAAGGGCAACAGCAATGCAATGATGGCTTTTTTTCAAGATTTTGTTGATGGAGACATTTTTAAGTCACACCCACTGTTTTTGAAAGTTCCTAAAGCATTGCAGTTGATTTTTTATACAGATGAAATTGAGCTATGCAATCCTCTTGGATCACGGTCAAACAAAAACAAATTGTTAATGATTTATTACACCTTAGGTAACATCAGCCCTAAATACAGATCAAGACTTGCTGCAATTCGTCTTCTTGTCATGGTAAAATCAAAAGATCTTTCTCGTTGCGGTATTGATGCAATATTTGAGAGAATTCAACATGACTTACTCAAGCTGTGTGATGGTGTGCAGATTAATACTGCAAATGGTGAGAGGACAATTTATGGAGCACTTCTGTCTGTATGTGGAGACACACTAGCTCAGCATGAAGTGGCTGGATTTAAGGAAGGAGTAGGGTTTGCCTATAGTAAATGCAGGCACTGTGAGTGCAACTTTGAAAACATGCAGAAACAATTTAATGAAGATATGTTTGTTAAAAGGACAATGGCAAACCACAACAAGCAATGTAACGACATTGAAAAGGCAACCACTGACTTTCTGAGAGAGAGTCTAAAAACAACTTATGGTGTAAACAGGAGAAGCAAATTAACAGAATGTCCTTACTTTGATATAATCAATCAAACCCCACAAGATACCATGCATGTTATTCTTGAAGGTGTTGCCCCATATGAAATCAAATGTGTTTTAAAACATCTTGTGTTGTCAGGGCATATGGACTTGGATACATTTAACAGCGCAATTGTTTCTTTCCCATATTCCCCCCTAGACGCAAGGGACAAACCTTGCCCAATATCTTTCAATACATTGTCATCAAATGACAACAAAGTAAAACAGTCAGCTGGGCAGATGCTGGTTTTGTTAAAGATACTGCCATTTCTCATTGATAAAATTGGACAAAACAATTACACTCGAATGCTACTTAATTTGCTTGAAATAATCAAAATTCTGTTTTCACCTATTATTGCTCTCTCAACTTTGTCAAAACTTAGTCTTTTAATAGAGCAACATTTCAAACATTTCAAACAACTTTTTCCTGATGCTAATATTATACCTAAACAGCATTACCTGCTGCATCTTCCCTCTCAGATTAAAGCTCTTGGTCCCACAGTGAGGCATATGTGTATGCGCTTTGAGTCAAAGCATTGCTTTTTTAAGCAGTGGGCTTTGAAAAGTAGCTTTAAAAATATTTGTAAATCTCTTTTGAAGCACAACCAACTTTATGAATGTAGTCAAAATGTGCATGAGAAGCATCCAATGTTTTCCAGTGAATGTGACATGGGTCCAGTTTCTGAGGTGAAAAATGTTCAATATGTAGAAGGAAAGATTAAAGAGTTCTTAGGAATTGAGGAAATTAATCATATAGTTACAGTAAAGTGGATTAATCTTTGTGGAAATAAGCATACTTGTGGACAATCTTTGGTTATTTCTAATGTTATCAGGGGTACTCCAGAATTTGCTCTTGTGAAAAACATATACATTGCAAATGCATCATTGTATTGTTTTGAGTGCCAGCCTCTCTCTACAGTTGGTTGGAATAATCATTATTTAGCTTATGAGGTAGAAATTCCCTGTCTAGCTCAAGCCAATATCTTTGTGGATACCAATAAGCTTATTGATTACACACCATACTTTTATGTGAATTTCAGTGATAGCAAGTACATTCCAGTGAAGTATGACCTCACAGATATTATCAAATATCATTCTTAAATCAGTGAAGAGTCTTGGTATTTGGAACAAACAAAGGTTTGTTGTGTTAATATTTCTGCATTTTATGCAAAAAAAGATAGTTTGTTCACGGCACTGGCATTTTGAGGCCGTCACATGTTAAAATAAATATGTGAAACGAACCTGCATTATTTGTCTATTTAATATAAACTGCACAGTAGGTATGTTTATGTAGTATTAAGCCTTGGAAAGAAATACAATGTAAAAAATGTTAATGAACTATTGGTTTAAAGAAATTGTAATGGGACAGACTTCAAAGAACCTATAAAATAGAATGTTTAATACTTTGAGTGATCAAAGAAGCAGATTTGTCTTAATTCAAGTTAGTTTGTTATCTTGAAACAAGATTTTTCACGTTTTACAGACTGCAAATGTTTATGAAATGTCAAAAAAGCTTGTTTCAAATAAGACATGACTCAAAACAAGATATTTTCAAGACTTTTTGCCTTATCAAGATTTTCAAGATGCATTGTCTCAAAACAAGTTGTAATGTCTTACTTGGATAGATGTTTTTGACTTATATTAAGTGTGATAAGAGGTTTTGACTAGACATTAGAAAATTAGACTTGGTAAGGTTTTACGTTTTTGCAGTGAAGGTATTGTGTGATTGGACTCATGAACTAGGCTAGAGCAACAATAAAAAGTCATCCTCAATTACCTGAGGTGCCTTTCTCTGGATGTGTGTATGGTGTACATCTGTGGACTTGGAACAACCAGACTTATCAATTAACTAATTATAGTTCCACCACTCGACTAACAGAGGTACTATGGCAAACTTTGCACGTACCCTGGCGAGTCTCCCTAGACCGTTTCAAATGTGCATTGAATGGGTCTACAGAGCTGAAACGAATGATTGAATCTTATAAGTCTAAATGTGTCTGATCTAACAGTGTCCACCTGCATTGCTCAAGGAAAGGTTTTACATGTGGCTAAAAATAATAGTGTAGGCGTCGGCTCACCATTGG